TATCCCTTGATCCACACATACAGCCCTGGCGTAGACCTGCCCTCACTCGTGCTGTGCTCTTGGGTTGTGGGGGTCACCCTCAGGTGCTTTAGTCTGCTTGGGGCTGACCCTCCAGCTCTGCCCACTTTCTGTGCAAGTTTGAGTGATAGGCTCAGCTTCTCTAAGCCTCCATTTCTTCATCTACAAAATGAAGCTAATAACAGAAACAATGCCATCAGGTTTTGAGGAGGAAATAAGGTGACAGACATCTGGCACACAGCCAGGATTCATTGAGTGTTTGCTCTTAGGGATATGATCGTAGTTTGAAGTCAGTAGAGAGCTCTTTAAAGTCAGGGAATTGGCTTTGAGCTTTCTATTTCATCTCTGCTGGACTCAGCATGGGGTAGAACATCTGAAGACGCTGAATATTGTCATTTGACTCTTTTTCCTAGAGTTTAATGATTTTCTATTAGCACACCCTGGCTTTTTTGACTGTGACCTGTATGTTGCTGCCCAGGTAACCCTGAGGCTGCAACTGCTTTCATGGTAAATAGTTTTACCATGGTCAACTGTGACCTACCATCATGACATGAACTGGCTCGCAAAAGCCCTGAAAGTTTTGCAGTCGACACTCCTGAGCTGCTCGACCTACATACTGCAAATGGACTCCTCTAAAAGTAGAAACCAGGGGACTTCAGTGGCATCTCACACTGACGTCAGAATTCACTAGGGTGAGTTGGTGTCCTGAGCGGCATTTAACTTTCATGAGGCCTTGAGTGGAATCCGAATTCACATCTGACATTCATCCTGCACATCACAGCGTAGCGCGGAGGGCAGTGTTGTCGGTCTTCCTCACGATCCTGGTTGTTGCAATGAGAAACGTCAAAATTTGTCTGCTTTACAGGGTGTTTCATCAAAGGGAGAACACTAGTTCACCATATGATGAGTAAAACATGGATCTAATTAGCCACGGATCTAATAGCAAGCCTTCTTTGAATTAAAGTTTGATCCTGAAGAATACTTTCTCTTTCTAAGCCATCATTCATCATTAAATGCATAAGGACAGTGCAGGCCATGTCCCTTGCAGTGTCCCCAAAGTCCTGCCGCATACAGCTACATGGGTCATACACAGAATAGCTCTGGTGATGCCCCTCACGTCAGCTCTGATAAGAATGATGTCCGTGGAGCTGTGCAATGCTGCTCTCTTCCTATTTTTACTTATCTGTATTCCCTACTCAAAGAAGTTGACAACCAAATAGCTAGAAAACGAGAAATGTCAGAAGTGTCTAGCACAAAGTTCTAGAGCAGTTTTTCAGATGGATAGCAAAAGGGTCAGCCCTGTTTGGCCTATGGCAGATGAATTGCCTGTTTCCCATACAAAAGACCGATTGAGTGGTTGCCACATATAAGAACTCTGCTAGGTGCAACTATAACATTAAAATGTCCTGAGTGGGCTGGGTGCAGTGGCTCACCCCTATAATCTCCACCATTTGGGAGGCTGAGGGCAGCAGATCACTTGAGGTCGGAAGTTCAAGACCAGCCTGGCCAACATGGCAATACCCTGCTCTACAAAAAAATACAAAAATTAGCCTGGTGTGGTGTTGGGCACATGTAATTCCAGCTACTCCGGGGGCTGAGGCAGGAGAATAGCTGGAACCTAGGAAGTGGAGGTTGCAGTGAGCCGAGAATGCGCCACTGCACTCCAGCCTGGGTGACAGAGTGAGACTCCATCTCAAAAGAAAAAACGAAACGAAAAGGAAAAATAAAATAAAATGCCTTAAGTGCCCAGCAAAAATTTGTAGCTGCCTCTCACCCTTCACTTATGAGTAAAATTGTATATGTGAGTGGATTCTATCGTGCACCCTTCTGGGTACAATAGAGGTAACAAAAAGGCACAGAGCACAGGCCACCCTCAAAGAGCTTCCTACCTTTTCAGGACTCCCATTTGTGTGCATATGCATCCTACGGGAATAATACAGTAAGCACGCCACTCTGCAGTGACATGCTGACTTGGTTTAAAGCCCAACCATATAAGAAGACATCTGTTTAGAGGAATGTGGTCCATTTTAATCTAGTTGCTCTTGGAATCCGAATAATCATTCCAATGTTGCTGCTGTTGTCCAAATTATGTTTGCATTTCTTTTGGAATTGCCTGCAGAGTCCATAACATGTCCTGTGAATATCCACAGTTAATGCAATTTTTTCAAGAGTAGATTTAGGGCAGGTTCTTTGATAAATGTATAGGTTTATAAGCTGACTCCGGAGATACAGCAAATATTATAGGTTGGCTTATTCAACATGCATGTCAGCCTCCCAGGCCCTTGTCTTCCCTTATCTTAGACACTGGGAAGCTGAATATTCAGTCTCTCAGCTTTCGGTTGCCAATAATGTGTAGGTGGAAGTTCCTGTGAAAGGTTCTCTTCTTTAATTAGAAGGCAAAGCCTTGGAGAAGGAAGTTTTTTGGCCATTTGGTCATCCTCCACGACTTTGTATGGGATATTGGAGGAGTATTAGGCTGATTACAACCATGAAGACACTTTGAGGACAAAAGCCACTTCCTCAGGGTGCTCGGTCAGAACAATCGGAGGACCTGGGCTCTGGCAATGTCACAGAACCGCCATCCTAGTCCCAGACTGCGGATCACTGGATGTCCTGTTACACAAACAAAATATGCCTTTGACTTATTAAGCATCTGATCATCCAGTTGTCTGTGATTTTCAACCGACTATATTCTTAACAGAGTACTGAAGACAATTTCATAAGAAGTCTAAACATGTCTTGAACCACAGAAGAATTATGGAAGGAGTACTGATTTTCACCCAAGCAAGGTCAGGGTGGCTGGGTTTTGATACATGGTGGCAAGGGACAGAACACTGCCATTTACTGAAGGTCTTCTTTGTGCCAGGCACATTTCAAATGTCGCTTCCCTTAATGACATTGAGATCGGAGTTGGCACCATTCCCCTACCCACTAAGGGGAGGAGCTGGAGTTCACCCTGGGGTCTGGATGGCTCCTAGGTCTGGCATGTGGATAGAGGGAGTGTGTGGGTTAGGTGGTGGGGAGGGGACCAAGGGCCACCTGAGGTGGGAAGTTTATATGAACAAGAACAATAGTAGGTCGGGCAAGGTGGCTCATGCCTATTATCCCAGCAGTTTGGGAGGCCTAGGCTAATCACCTGAGGTCAGGAGTTGGAGACCAATCTGGCCACAAAAATTAGCCGGGTGTGGTGGCACATGCCTGTGATCCCAGCTACTCGGGAGGCTGAGGCTGGAGAATCGCTTGAACCTGGGAGGCGGAGGTTGCAGTGAGCAGAGATCATGCTACTGCACTCCAACCTGGGCAACACAGCGAGCCTCTGTCTCAAAAAAGAAAAAAAAAGAACAAGAGTAAGTAGGAAAAATGGTTGAAGATTGTCCTGGGTAGAACTTAGGATTCATTTTGAGAAGTACAGGAAGATAAATATGGGCAGAAGAAAGCAGAGACAGATTATGGAGGACATAAATGTTAATTTAGAAACCAGATCCAGGGGTAGGAAACAATTGCATGTTCTTCAGACGGAAAGTGATACAGTGTGCTTTCATACGAGTTATCTGGGACCACTTCTGCTATAAATAAAAAAGGAAATGGACTTAATCAAAACAGATTAAGATTACTTTTTGGGGGAGGACTTTTGCTACCATGCTGTTTCTTAGATTGTAAATCCTGAGCACCAGGGACAATTCCTGCGCCTGCTTGATGTAATACAGTTCCCTTGCTGGAAACCTCAGGCAGGCGAGGACAGTGTTTGTGGAATAAAGGGAAGAGGAATTTGTTTCTTGCTTTGATATACTTTCAGAAACTTTGCATCCTTAGTGCTACTATTAAGATTCAACAAGCAATAGAAAGGTATATTACTATTACATCTGGGCTAGGAATAGAGCATTAGAGAATTATTTGATCATTTTAAATTATGCATGATTTTAAATAGCAGAAAATTAAGTCAGTGGTCTTGGGGGTTGGCTTGGTAATGGAAACCTGCTACAGTGTACTTAATGTGTAGACAGAGTCTATTTCTAGTATTGTGATGACAGGCAGTCAAAAGTTTGCTGCTTGAGATGGCTTTAATGAAATAGATAGCTTATTCTCCCCACCTCTCCTCCCCCTCCTCTTCCCCCTCCCTCTCTCTCCCTTTCTTTCCCACTCCTTCTCCACCTCCTCCTTTTTCTTCCTTCTTTTCCTTTTCCTTCTTCTCCTCTCCTCTCCCTTTCCCTTTCTGTCACCTTTCTCATTTTGCTCTTCTGTCTCCCCTCTTCGCTCCCCTTTTTTCCTCTTGTCTTATCTGTTTGAGACCTATTTAAGCATTCATCAGGGCACCTTTCTCAGGTTTTGTCAACATACAACATACAGCATAATTGAACTATAGATAGAGGATGCTGGCTCCAGGCAATCAAACTTGAAATTAGAATTGATGCTATGTGAATTTGTAATTTTTACCTAGAGACTCCCATTTCTATTTGTTCCATCATTTGATCTTTCCTGATGATAATACTTGGCTCCATTTTCTTTCTTTCTTTTTTTTTTTTCAGACGGAGTCTTGTTCTGTTGCTCTCACTGCAACCTCTGCCTCCCAGGTTCAAGCGATTCTCCTGTCTCAGTCTCCCAAGTAGCTGGGATTACAGGTGCGCACCACCATGACTGGCTAATTTTTGTATTTTTAGTAGAGATGGGATGTCACCATATTGGTCAGACTGGTCTCCAACTGCTGACCTAAGGTGATCCACCCGCCTCGGCCTCCCAAAGTGCTGGGATTACAGGCATGAGCTGTCATGCCTGGCCTCCATTTCTTTTTCTGCAATCATGTTCTCTGTTAAGTCCAGACAGTGACCCCTGAGTTTACCCATTGAGGGATAAGCTGACATTTTGCAGAACTTAGATTTTCAGGGTCTCTTCTTATCGCTTTCACTGTTGGCAGCTAAAACCAGGTTGCCATTTAGGAATGGCTCTTTGCGATTTTTATTTGAATGAAAAATTTCCTTTGATTACATGTAGTCCTCCACATTTTTAAAGTTTATTAGAATTTAAAATAAACTACAGATCATTCAGCTCATAGATACAATGTTTATACATACGATGATACATAAGTCTATATATATATATATAAGGTTTTAGACCTAAGTAAAATATTGATTAATTTAGATGAAATAGAAATAAAATAAATTAACATAAGTCTCTGCCCAGGTTATGTCAGAATAATTAATATACTATATTTATATATTATTACATATAGGATGTTTTATATGTAATCCTAGTATGAGTCACCATTTTGGAAATAAATTATCATTATGAACTAAGATGTACGGATTTTTAAACCTAAAAAGCCAAACTCTTGCCTGTCTGCAAATTGAAACACATAGGCAATTAATGATGCTTCACAAAACTGAAAAAGATCTCGTGAGGATTTATGAGGGTTGTTAAACTTTGAGCATTTTTTGCAACATACTTCCAGACCTAAAGCCATCCGAGGCTTCTCTATTTTGCTAGTATCTGAGACACATTAAAGCTCTATTTAGCGCTAGAAGTTTTGACAATTTGCTCTCTAGAGCCACCCCGTCTTCTCTGGAGCCTGTGGAGGGTGGGCAAAGCTGCAACCTGGGGGCTGGTCCTCGGTGGGAGCCTCTCTGTAGCTTAGAGGGAGACTGCACCTTGTTCCAAAGCAACACAGGCCTCTCTTTGATTAACCTGAAGAGACATGAGGTGCCAGGAGGCACAAGGCAGGGCAGTTTTATTGTGGTCATTCTGTGTTAGTGACAATGCTGAGGCCGTGTGTTGCTTTCCAGCAGGCATTTTAAATTTCCTTCGGATATTCTGATCGTTCTCCCAGCAGGCCTTCATTCCTGTCTCTTCAGCTCCCATTGCTCTTTACTCTCATTGTTCGTGTAATAAAGCAATGGGAAATTTCTTGAAATGACTTTTATTTGTATAACCCTCCTCTGTGGTGGATCTATGGACAAATGCTACTCTAAAGAAGTCGAAGCTCATGACAGCAACGTTTTCGAGGACTTTAAAACCCACTTTTCTGAGCTGAGCTGTCTGGGAGTTCCTCCTGAAACTGGTGACCACATTTTTCTTACCTTTTTCTTTTTTTTTTTTTTGAACAGAGTTTCGCTCTTGTTACCCAGGCTGGAGTGCAATGGCGCAATCTCGGCTCACCGCAACCTCCGCCTCCTGGGTTCAGGCAATTCTCCTGCCTCAACCTCCTGAGTAGCTGGGATTACAGTCACGCGCCACCATGCCCAGCTAATGTTTTATATTTTTAGTAGAGAAGGGGTTTCACCATGTTGACCAGGATGGTCTCGATCTCTTGACCTCGTGATCCACCCGCCTCGGCCTCCCAAAGTACTGGGATTACAGGCTTGAGCCACCGCACCCGGCAGACCATTTTGTTATGAAGTTATTTTGAAAACTTTCCCATCCAAAGGGACCAGTGGGTAGACAGGGGACACAATTACTAATAAACAATGTTGTCATTTAGAATATAAAGTAGAAGAACCTCAAGCAGGTTTTGGTAGCTAGCTGGCAACACTCCTGGTCACATAAAAAGGTATCTTGCAATTAAAAAAATAAGTTTTGAAATAGTAAACTCATGACGGAAATCTTAAGTTATTTAAACATTTTCCAAAGGACATAGTCATCCCAAGAGCAACAGAATTGAAATAGGAACATTGTTAATTTATGTTGGGTTAAAAATACTTTGCATATTTAATGTTAATTTTAGCTTTAGCTTTTGCTCAGAAGTTCTGCAAATACCTGAAGGGATTTCAGCTTGCTCACCACCTCTCCTACACACCCCTGTCAAACGGCACGGACTGCCATTGTTATCAGTTTTAGTAGTCAAGTTATTTTCCATGTGAAGTCAGAGTTTAGAAGTGCTGCTCTTTTACCACCTTGGATGATTCCTACACTTCCTGGGAGGGAAGGATGACAATAATTTGTGTTCCATTTGTCTCCTTTTCTTTAAAATTTTGTCACTGAAAGTGCAGAGTATCTGAAACAGAATGAAACCTCACTGGAAAATACAGTCTGTGAGTGAGTGCTGGTGATGCAATTTACCCCAAAGGAACAAGTTCAAATTCCGGTCTGACCTTTGTGAGGGTGAGACAGGTTGCCTTGCTGCAGCACGCATTGCTGTCTAAGCACGCTTTAGGAGGAAATGATAACGTGCATGCCGATTGTCAAAAGTGGTATCTGCTCCATATAAACCTGGTATCGTTTGCAAAGTCCGTGAGACTTTGAAACACGGAAGGCTGGAAGTGTCATCAGCGGGAAGGATAAACGCAGCTGCTACTGGATGGAATAAACAGAAGGTCCAGGTGGGAGCCAGTTCTCCAAGGAGCTCGCTTCTTTGGTTCTCAATGGGATGGTGGAAATACGCTTCAGACATTAAGAAGTCTGTAGTGGGTTAAGGCTCCATTTCTCTTCTTGAGGAGTCCTCTGTCTTCCTGGTCCCAAATGCAGACCACTTTACGAAAGGCCTTTGCCAGGCAGCTTTTCAGCTTCTGGAGAAACATTTCCTGCCAATTAAGCTCCACCTGCAGAGATGGGACACAGCTTGGGCAGGAGCATGGGCCTCCAGGGTCTGAAACTGAACACAGAAGGCCTGCCTTCTTGGTAAAATGCATGAAATATTCTTTTATAGTGATGACTACGCTTCAGTGGAGCCTGTAGGTTTGCTGAGTGCCTGCCCACTCTGGGCCAGGCCCTGCTCCAGGCCCTGCTACAGGCCCTGAGGATCTTAACAGTAAGACTGACCCAGTCCTGTCCTGGACGAGGTGAGGTTTTATGGAGGGAGACAGACAGTATGCTAGGAAACAAGAAAATAATAAGATAAAGATAGAGATGATGACACACACTAACAGAATCCCAGGAGACAAGAACTTGTTTCAGACACAATGTAGGTAAGGTGATTCAGGAAGACCTCTCTGAAGATGTAGATCTCATTGCAAAGGATGAGAAGGACCTAGCAGTGGGAAGAACCAAGGACAAGCATTCCTGGCTTGGCAGGGAACATCAGCTGCAAAGATGCTGAAGCCCTTTCCACTCCGGGAATAACCTGATTTGGGTCACCATTGAAGAGACTGTAAATCTTCCAGCTACCTTACTTTTCTTTCAGAGGCTTTTTTTTTTTTGTGAGAAATAATTGGTCCCATCCCCACTTGATTTTGATATTAGGTGTGGCTAAGTAGAAGGACTGATTTTCCAATATAATATCCTGCACTGGATAAAGAGAATGCTAAGTCGTCTGTTGTGCTGTTGTTTATTTTTGTTTTTTCTCTTGAAGCTGCTTTTAATTAGAAACCAAACATAGTTTTAATGTTAACATCTGATTAAAGATATATATGTGCATGCTTTTTCTTGTTTTTCCTCTGTTCTACCCAAGATCATGAATATAGGTCTATTTTAAAAGTAGTGGTGAAAATAAATGTGCATGTTACTAGAAATCACATACTTTTGAAGGTTTATAATCCTTCTCTCCTAAAAGTCTATCAGTTGAATCTGTTTTATTATAGAGAAGCTGTTTCCATCTACTGTGTTGTTTTCAATAAGTTCTGAATAATTTTCAAAATAAGGTGGCATCTTACTTTTTGATAAAGATAGCAAAGGCATTGCTTTCAATTTCAAAGTATGACAGCACTGTTACTCAGACAGCCTTCATTCTTTTCTGAAGTAACAGTTCTTTTCCTTTTTCCTGAACTGTGGTAACTGAAGTATGAAGTTACTTTCATAATAATGTAGTTAAAAATATTAAAACTTTCAAAAATATTACCTAATATGTTAAAGGAAAATTTATGCTTATATTTAAATTAGAACAATGAGTCTGTTCTAAACTTATTATAGAGTCTTATTACTTATAATAGATGGATATATATAATTTTAGGAGTAAGGCAGAATTTACTTTTCATAGCATTGCTGTTTTAGGCTGTGCATACCAAATAGCAAAGAGGTAGAAGTAAATGATTGTGAAGTATGGTGGTGGCCAAGTAATTTATCTTCAAAATGTTACTCTGTCACAAGTGGCTTACCTTTCTTGCACCCAAAGGATCTAAACTGTACTCTGCACTAGCAAAAGAAAATGCACAGAAAGAAACAGTCCTCAGAATGAGTTTGTTTCGTGTTGTGTCAGCTCAGAGTGACAAATATTGGAGATTTGAAATGCAACCAGCCAGGTACAGGAAGAGCCGCAGCAAAGAGCAAAACGTGGATGCATTTCCCCTCTTGTCATTCAATCTGGGAGATGTGGCTTTCCTTTGAAGCTTTTCTGTCCTGGGGAATTGCAGCAATTTCCTTGTGATTCTGCTTCCAAGCCTGGGCTTATAGAAGACGGAGGCAGAAGGCAGGCAAGTTAGACACAGAAAGGCAGAACAGAGCCTTCCGGATGGTGGAAAGTCAGGGCCGTGTTCCTGCAGCAACATGTCATGCAGAGATTGGTTTACTGTAACTTTCTTCCTGAGAGTCTGCAGTTCCTCATACACTTGGCAACTCATTATGCAGTTATTCCGAAACCCCTTCTACTGAGCTTCACAATGCCCTGACGGCTTTCAGAGCTCCCTACTTGTACATATCGGATCGCCCTTTTTCTCCACTTGTCTACCCTCCTTGGCCTGACCCTTCATGTGGCTGGCTCTGGGCATGTCCTTAGCCCTTTTTCTGAATTCTAGCAGGATTTCTATCAAATCTGCATGGCTTCCACTTTCTGTCTCGTCCCAGACCCAGGTTTTCAGTTGCCTCCTGATTGCTTCCTCTAAGAGCTATAGACAGCAAAGCTAATTTAGGTTAATCCAAAATTTAGGTTAATCTCCTCAAGGATAATATTTATCTGCCTTTTCCGTTCCCAATCATGATGGATGCCCGCAGCCATAGTGCTAGTTTTGACTGCAACTTCTTAGTAGTCCATTGGTCACCAGTCACCATTGCTTCTGTGGCATATATATTCTAAACCCGAGACATCATCACAGTTCCATTGCTGTCCTTCCTGCCTCCCATCCCTCACTTCTGTAGTCCCCAGTACACACACACACAGAGCCAACAGATTTCCCCCCCAAAAGAAGGATGTGCTTCCTTCACCCTAACAAACTCTTCAGCAGGGCCTCCAACCTCACCCTAACTGTGTAAGGATGAAGTCCAAACTCCACATGTCACAGAGCCCTTCTCATCCAACCCCACTTACTTCTTGCCTAAGTTCAAATCAGTTCATACTATTGTTTACCTAATGTGTGCAAGGCACAGGGAATATAAAGACGGGTAAGACGCTGCTAGGAAACTTGCAGTCTGAACGGGTAGAGAGGCAGAAGAACTGGTGATTTAAAAATAATGAGTGAAGAGCCGGGTGTGGTGGCTCACGCCTGAAGTCCCAGCACTTTGGGAGGCCGAGGCAGGCAAATCATAAGGTCAGGAGATAGAGATCATCCTGCCCAACATGGTGAAATCCCATCTCTACTAAAATATAAACAAATTAGCTGGGCGTGGTGGTGGGTGCCTGTAGTCCCAGCTACTCGGGAGGTTGAGGCAGGAGAATTGCTTGAGCCTAGGAGGCGGAGATTGCAGTGAGCTGAGATCGCACCACTGCACTCCAGCCTGGGCAACAGTGTGAGACTCCGTCTCAAAAAAAAATTACAAAATAAAAGAATAATGAGTGAAGTGCTGGGAAGAAGACATGCTTCCACCCACTTCTTATACTCCTGGTACACTGGACGTCTCCCTGTTTCCAAAGCAGGCTGAGCCTAGCATTGCATTTTCTGACTTTCCTTCCTGAAATTTCCATTTGCCCTTTTTTGCATGATACTCCTGCTCCATCTTTCAGATCCTAGGGGACTTGGTCTCTGTGAAGTTTTTTCTTACTTCTGCAGACAGCTGCTTTTGCTCCTTGTTCTAAACGAATGCATGGGATCATGATGCTGTCACCTGGCTCACTGGAAGGCTGGACGGTCTTTTCTATGTCTGTATTCTTTGCCCTCCTCTCATTCTTTGGTACTACGTAGATGCCTAGTTTCCGTTCACTGAATAAATGAATCCCTCACTTCGCTCAAGTGAAAATCAAGCATCTTACCTGGAGTGATAAACATTCCAGCTCCCTGGAGCTCCTCAGTCATAAGTATACTAAGGTAGCAAGATACCTGGATAAAGCTTTAGAAAGCAAGAACAATTATTTCCCCCTCCTTCCCTCCTTTCCTTCCTTTTATTTTTGTTCTAGTAGAGAGAAGAGGACCTGGAGAAGACAAGCATTTGGGAGACCGGGAATAGTGGCCAGGAGGTCACAGAAGGGCTGCCTGAAGAATGTACTGGAATGAGGGAAAGGGATTGTGGGACAGCATCTGGGCTGCCCCATCCTCCGGGGCTCATTCGAATGCACTGTTCAGTCACTTGTGTTCTTCTGCTTAATGGATGGTGAATAGCTTTCCACAGGATTTCACTTTTGCAACATAATTGGTAAATGGCTACATAGTGTTCTTTAGATGTCTTATAATTTAATTAACTTTAGATGGTGTCTTATAATTTGATTTATATGATGTAATTATAAATATAATTCATATAATATAATTATTAATATAACTTAATTAACTTCCCCTATTACTGGGAAGTCAGACTGTTGTTTCTTCTGCACATCTGAAAAAGGAGCACCTCCTAGGTCTGGCTCCCTCCTGAGGACGGAGATCCTTGTCTTTTGTAAGGAAAGCTGCATGTTGCTAGGCTATTTGCACCCCAGCCTGTCCTCTGGCATTAGGCACAGGCCTGCTCACTGGCCTGGACATTCTGTCCTAAGAGTCATTTTTTGACTTTGTAACACGAGTGGCTTTCTATCACACTATGAAAAGCTGAGGGTTCACATTTGCCTTGAATGCAGACCTCCCTGCCCTGCTGGGGATGGCTCTCTCGTTTATCTTTGCTGGACGTCCCTGACTTACACCCTGACTTGTAATCTGGAACCACAAAGGAATTTTCAGTGACAACGTGGGGAAACAGAATTTGTCTGAGCCTGGACGAGGTTTATATAATAATTAAAGCCAGGTATGATTGTTCTAGCTCCTTTTCCACCCCAACTGTGGGGCTGGTGCAATTAAATTCTGATACTAAGAATACAGAACTACTGTCAGACCCCACAGTGAGGGGTCAGTCTCCCGTAAGACAGCCTTCACCCCAGAGGCCAGCAGCAAGTTCCAGGGCTCCCTGGGGCCCCCACAATCTGCCTGATGAGCCCTTCAGTTTGGATAATTCACAGGAATCCCTCACAGAACTCAGAAAAGCATTATACTTACTCTTGAAGGTTTATTATAAGGGTGTAAACCAAAAAGTGTCCAAGACAGATTTCAATCAATATAGAGGTTTAGTTTGCAAAGACTGAAGATGCACCCAGGAAAAAGAAACACAAACCACAGTAAGATCTGTGGCCCGTGCCTTTTCCAAAGAGAGTGGAGGACTTCACTATTTAAAAGGGAAAGAGTGAGTAGGAGGGGAAAGTGTAAAGAAAAATAGAAAAAGAAGATAGGCAATGAGGCCAGTGGCTACATTCTTGTGAGGTTTTGATTACTGCTCA